GTCATCATCACCATCGTCATCATCATCATCATCATCCGAAAAATTCTTTCTACAGCGGGCGTAATAAGTGCTAAGTTATTTCCGAAACTCATTGATGATGCTTCAATCATCATCATCAACATCTGCAACAACAACAAAATAATAATAATAATAATAATAATAATCATCATCACTACCAACAACAAAATCAGCACCATTAAGTAATTTTTAATGACTAACTGTGATCAGATTATTGTTGGTGTCGTTGATGATGATGTCGTTGTTGTTGTCTTGGCTGATGTTGTTGTTGTTGCTGATGTTGTTGATATTGTTGATGTTGTCGCTGCTGTTGGTGATGTTGTTGTTATTTTTGATTTTGTTGTTGTTGCTGATGTTGTTGTTGTTGTTGTCACTAAAGTTGTCATTATCGTCACGTTCATGGTTATGGCTTCTGCAGACATTATCAGTAGTTGCAGGTTTGACAGTGGAAGCTGTGGTTCTGTTATCAGCAACAATAGCAGCGGTAGTTGTAGTAGAAGCAGTAGTAGCAACAACAGCAGTAATAGTAGTAGTGGTAGTGCTGATGGTGGGGGTTTTGATCAAAATTTGTTCAATTTTTCGTCCATTTTCGTTATTAATTCTGTTATCTTTGTTAGTATTAATATCATTGATGTCATCGTAGTTGTTTCTTTGGTTGGTATTGCTACTGATTTTCGCTTTTTCGATGTTGTTGTTGTTGCTGCTATTGATGTTTTTGATGTTGATGTTACTGTTGTTGTTGTTGTTGTTGTTACTTTTAGCGATGTTATTAACCAGGCTGCCAAACTCACTGTTGTTTACATCATTTGTAAACTTTGACAAATGTTGCTGATGATGTTGTTGCTGATGTTGAGGTTGTTGTTGCTGATGTTGATGTTGTTGCAGATGATGTTGATGTTGTTGTTGCTGATGTTGTTGTTGCTGATGTAGATGTTGTTGTTGCTGATAATGTTGATACTGGAGCTTGAAACTTTTCAACAAAAGATTCTGCCTGCCGTTTTGAATGAGGACTTCCTTCAGATGGTCCGGGGGGTGGTGAAACCTGCAGGGAGGGTCTTGCCGGGTGCATTTGCCCTGAAGTGATGATGATGATGATGATGGTGATGATAGTGATGACGATGATGATGATGACGATGGTGATTGTGATGATGGTAATTGTGGTGATGATTAAAATGTTTTAAGAACAAATAATTCCACAATGGACAATATACTCAATCAGCCAATCAAAATCGAGAAAACATCAGGCATTCGCGAACGATCAATCACCCAATCATCGACCTTGATAAAATCATAACAACACGTGACCCTGCCCTCCTTATTAACGTCAACCAATGAGATGTCAGGATGAGCATAAAGGCATTCTTCATCGACCAATGAACATCGGCGATCCGTCAAGAACTTGCTGCAAACCTCCAATGTCAGCCATCTTGAATCGTCATCGTCATGGCGACGGCGAGGACGTTTCGTTTGAGAGAGATGTTGATTGTTGCTGTGGGGGTGTGCTGCAGGATGTTGATGATGACGATGATGAAGTTGGAGATGATGATGATGATGAAGAAGAGGAAGATGATGATGAGGGAGATAATTTTGAATTTGTGGCGGTAAAATGTATTGAGTCTGTGGTAGTAGTGATGTTATTTGTTGTTGTTGATGTTGCTGCTGCTGCTGATGTTGTTGATGTTGTTGTTGTTGTTGTTAAAAATAATCGATTACCTATATTGTCTTCATAATAAATATTTTCGTCCCACAAATTTTACTGTTAAAAATTGTAAATGCATTTATGAAATAAGATAAATTAAATGAACGAACGAACGAACGAACGAATGAATGAATTAATGAACTAACGAATGAACGGATGAACGGATGAACGAATGAATGCGAAAAATTCAACAAAAGAATGAATGAGCAAATAAAAAAATATTTCATAGGATCATGACGAATTCAATAATGTTGACTTAGTTTAAAGTACAAACATTCAAACTTTTTTTCATTCGTTTCATTCATTCATTCATTCATTCATTCATTCATTCATTCATTCATTCTTTCATTCATTCATTCATCAATCATTCATTTATCCATTCATTAACTCAGACAACATTCTTATTTACCCCACACAAATTTCTATATAATTAATCAATTATTCATTCCTAACACTTCAAAACATATCCCAGATTTTATATTATAACGATTAATGAAATAAATAAATATATATATATATATAAACTTATTTTTAGCCAAATAAACAATTACGTTTGGACTGAGACCAGTTTATGTACATATATAACACAATACACACAGACACACGCAAATATACAGACATACACACACATACGCACACACACATATATACATACATACACACATCCACTCGTACATACATACAAAAAAAAACATAAAAATTTGCTTTACAATGAACAACTGAACTATATATATATGAATGAAATAAAAATGGCTATAAAAGATGATGTTGAAATTGCATTCATCATTCATTCATTCGTTCGTTCATTCATTCATTCATTCGTTCGTTCATTCATTCATCCATACATCCATCCATCATTTAGGGCATCCACATTTATGTAATTTGATACCAAATGTAACCGTACATAGTTAAATACACGTTCATCATCATCATTATCGTCATCATCATCGTCATCATCATCATTAATATTATTATTAGTAGTAGTAGGAGGAGTAATATTAGTAGCAGCAGTAGTAGAAGTGGTAAAAGTAGTAGTTGTTGTTTTAGCAGCAGCAGTAGTAGTAGTAGTAGTAGCAGCAGCAGCAGTAGTAGTAGTAGTAGCAGCAGCAGCAGTAGTAGTAGTAGCAGCAGTAGTAGTAGAAGTAGTAGTAGTAGAAGAAGAAGCTGTTGATTAGCAATTACGTAAACAATGGAATGGATGAATAATCATATGAACTTTCACATTTCGACATTATCTCTCTTTCTTTCTTTCCCTCCCTCTCTCACTCACTCTCACTCACTCTTTCTTTTTCTTTTGTCTTTCTTTCTTTCTCTAGGTATCTTTTACTTGATATGTTCTTATTTCTATCCATTTTTACCTTCAATTTTTTAATTTTGATTATTATTACACATTGTTAACGTATTCAAACAAGCAGCTGAGCAAATATTTTAAAAATAATCAAGGTATGAATGTGTATATATATATATATATATATATCGATATATATCGATATATATATATATATATATATCGATATATATCGTACATAAAGAGAGAGAGAGAGAGAGAGGGAGAGAGATAGAAAGGGATGGAGAGAGAGCCATAGAGAGAGACATATAGTATATGTCTATAATTCTAAACACCTACAACCATTCATGTATCTATAAATAACTTATATATATATATATATTTATAAGTTTATATATATATATTAGTGTATATATATATATATATCTATTGTGTGTGTGCGTGAATGTGCGCGTGTGTGTTGAAAGGAGGCGATATTTTATACAGTATTGTATGAATTCTACCGAATTGTTGGCATTAATCAATTTAAGGTTTGTCTTTTCAGCCAAACCTGCAACTAAGGATGGTTTGTGAAAAATTGAAATAAGGCCCTATCTGCATGTTGAATTCGGATAACAAGAGTTTCATTAAATTTTCTTGACGAACTTGGATAATTCTATTTTCAGGGAAAGTGAAAAGGCAAACTTTAAACTGATTAATGCCAACAATTCGGTAGAGTACATACACTACAGTATCTTTCCAACATTTACATAACATAAATATACATATATAGATACTCTCATATATATATATATATATATATATATATATATATATATATATCAAATCTCATTTGGACTCAACACACTCAATCACAATTAGCCGTGAAATCCTCGACAGCAACACCAAAGTAATATACCAGAACAGCAACTACACGCATCTTAAAATTGCAGAAGCAGTCCTAATTGACATCAATAAACCAAAAATAAATATACAACAAAAAATGACAACCTCACTTCCAGCCCGGCGCTTAACCAACAACGAAAACAAAGAAGTAATAAAAACTAGCATCGTAAATAGTGACAAAGAAGAATATGATGCTATCGATGAAGAAAAGGAGACCAAAGAAGATGACCAGCCAATTAAGAAACCTGACACCTAATTCGCATCAAAGTTCAATTTTACAACGTCAAAGTTCATCTTAACAAAGTCAATATTTTCCTATATATACAGCAAGGAGCACTGATGATGATTCATTCGGAATCGAAATATGGCCTTATTTGCAGCATGAATTCGAAAAATAAGTTTATTTTGAATTTTAATAAACTAAACGTTCACCAAAAAACTTTAGTGAGAAAAATCGAAAAAACGAACTACAAACATATTAACGCCAAACATTCGGTAGAATTTATAGAATATTGTAAAATATATATATATATATATATATATATATATATATATATATATGTGTGTGTGTGTGTGTGTGTGTGTGTGTGTGTGTGTGTGTAATGTGTAGGTGTGCTATTTGTTTTCAGATGACAACTAATTTTAAAAGGTTATGGGTTTATCTGCTTTTATCACTGACTGGGAAAACGATGACGACGAAGATGTTATAATAATGGCGCCATTTCGTGAAAACTACTACTACTACTACTACTACTACTACTACTAAAAATAATAAAAATAATAAATGTAATAATAAACTACATAACGAGAGAAGCCAGAATTAATTATATATTCTGATTGGACATTTAATTAAATTTGAAGACTCTTCACGATGTCCGCGATGGTACTGATGACGATGATGGTGGTGATGATGGTGGTGGTGATGATGATGGTGGCGATGATGGTGGTGATGATGATGATTATGATGATAATGATGGTGGTGATGATGGTGATTGTGGTGGTGGTGATGATGATAATGATCATAACTAACATCAATTAATTACATGACTAACTTCATTGAATATTTCTTGACGTACTTTTTTTTAAATTTTTATTATAATTAAATGAAATAATATATGAAAAATAAATTCAAATAAATCAGAAAAAAATGTATAAAAAACAAAAAAACTAAATATCAACTCAAAGACTATGAATATTAAACAAATGTTTTAAAAAAATCAAATCATTTGCATCTACGCAACTATCTACCTAAATATATTTCGCCAGATGCATCTAATCAAATTCTATTTATACATACCCATGTATATTTATAAATATATACTATATACACATATTTAGGTCTGTCAATTATATAACAATAATAATGCAATGAATCATTCATACATTCTGTTATCATTTTAAATTTTTAGTTCTGTGGAATTATTTAAAAAACATGTCTGTAATATGATTATATTAATATATATATTTGTGTATGTGCTCTTATGCATTTATATAGCTAGTATTTTTGTTTTCATATATACCCTATTTGTTTAAATTTATACGGATGTTTGCAAATTTTTAAATTTAAACAATATTCTTACGTATGTGTTGCAGGGTTTTGCTTTCAACAAACAAATTTTTTATAAAATTTAGGAAAAATTATTTACAATTTTTAAATTTGTTTACTATCTTATACAATTAACTTATGGAATGTCTAAGATTTGTACAAAAAATGTTTATGCCCATCCCTGACAGGTCGTTTCTGATTGGTACACGCCTTTCGTAGCAAAAGTTCGTTTTTACAAAATTGTTGTCCAGGATTTTTTAACCGTTGTTGGATGAAAAGTTGATTTTTGTTTACATTTTCAATCGAAATGGCAGAAAATAAAACGTTCAACCATTTGTTTGTTTTTGCACTAATCCTGATTAGCACGTCAGCGTTGTTTGCACTGGCCGACGATGTCAACGGAGCTGTCACTTTAAATTCTGGAACATTCGACAAGGTAAGTTTTCTTAAGTTTTCAATTTTAATAAATTGTAAAAGCCGGTTGCGATCCCAATCTGGAAGATTTAATTTAAATAATATAAAGCAATTTGTGGGTGAATATTCATATTAAAATTATTCTTTTTTACATATTTTTCTATTAATTTTTAAATTTAATAAATTTAAATTTAATTAGATTCTGGGGAAGTTTAAGACAGTTCTAGTAAAATTTGACACTGCCTATCCATATGGCCACAAACAGGATCAGTACAAGAAGGTGGCAGAAAGTTCCATTGGACAGCCTGACCTGCTCGTAGCCGAAGTTAATATTAAAGGTTGTCATTTTTATCTAAACATTGAAATTTTCCTATTTGGAATATTTGAAAAATATGTATCTTAATATTCTTTCAAATAGTGATCTATCTTCGTTTTATGAATTCATTAAAGTTGTTCATTTACCTTTCGAAAGATTATGGTGAGAAGGACAATGATGATTTGAAACAGAGGTACAACATCAACAAGGATGACTTCCCTGAATATCGACTCTTCTTAAAAAACGCTAAGGATCCGATTCCATTCAAGGGAGATGAAGAGAAAGCTGAGGAAATTCTTGACTTTCTTGTCAAAGAGTCGGGTCAGTTGTTGTTGCTCATTGGCCATTCAACACTCCAACAACTGACTTTAACACTTTTACCACCTCCATCAATCTCTCTGTGAGTTCTCCCAGTCTCTCTTCCAAACCATACCTGCATCTCATCTCTCTCAGTGTTGCTGCTGCTGCTGTTTCTGTTGATGATGACTGTGATGTGTTTTGTGATGATTGTCATAGTGCTCATTGAATTAAATTTTTAAACTCTAGTAGATGTTTTTTAAAATTGAAAATTAGGTCTTTGGTTAGGAGGGCCAGGTTCAATAAAAGAGTTTGAGGATCTTGTAGTGAGGTTCTTTAAAGAACCTCAAGAAAGTAGAGCTTCCATCATCAAGTTAACACACATCTTTCTTTATTTCAAAATCTTTCAACGTATTTCATAATAAAAATTTTCCAAAATATTAGCTCCTATTGTACATTTTAATAAAAATGAAATTGATTTTTGATAATTTTCCTCTTCAGATTAGCTGAAGAAGAGTTAACAAAAGAGAAACACAAGAGTAACTTCGAGCAGGCTGAAATGTATGTCAAACTCATGTCAAAGCTTGATTCAGATGTCAACTTTCTTATGAAAGAAATAAGTCGGGTGTCGAAGCTGTTGGCTGGAAAGTTGAGTGACAAGAAGAAGCACCAACTGAAGATTAGGCAGAATATTTTGAACATTATAAATGCCAAATATCGTGAGAGTCTCGATAGTAAGATTGTTAGAAACAATGATGATGCCAACAGTAGCAGCAATGAGCTGTAGGCTTGCTATTGATTGATTGGTTGATTAATTGGTTAATTGATTGATTGTTTGGTTGATTGTTGGTTGGTTAGTTGTATGGTTGATTTTGGTTGGTTGGTTAATTGGTTGCCAGGTGTGCCTTTCATTAGTTGTTGTTTGGTTGGTTGTTTCATTCATCTGTTTTTTTCTACATGTATGTACGTGTATATTTTTATTTGACGAATTAGTTTGTTAATTGTTTTGTAATGAAATTTTAAACGTTAGCTATTTGAACGTTGTATCTTTAAATATATCCTATATTCCATTGTTAGTTATTTAATTATAATAACTTGCATCTGTTTGTATGTTTGTTCATGTGTGTTTGTGTGTTAGTGTACATCTGATAATCTTCTCATAGTTGACAGCATATAAATTGTGCTAGTAGTGACTTACTTATGAAGAATGAATGGATGGTTTTACTTACATACACACACATACATACGTATGAATTGGAGGCTGCATTCCATCACATGTTCACTCAACATTGTTTTATTATCGTTTGCACTGTTGTTATTGTTATTTTTATTATTAATAATTAATTATAGTTTTTATTATTTCAGTTATTATTATGAATTTATGTTCTTAATGTAACTTACGTTAGCGTTTGATTTGATGCTATTGGCATTATTGTTTTTTTTTCGCTATTTGCGATTCTTGTTTTGGAAGTCAAAAAGTATGTTAATTTAAATTAATTCAAATGGGGATCGTACTATTCGGTCTTTAAAAATGGCCAAAGCCGAATGTCAAACTTTGGCCGAGCCTGTTCAGTGCCTCTCCACTATGAATACGTATGCTTGTGTGTATACGTCTATGCGTGTGTTCGTACGTTTTTGTTTGATTGTTTGTGTTTATGTGTGTGAGTGTGTGGATTTGATGTGTATGTGCGGGTGTGGATGTCTGTGTGTGTTCGTGTGTGTGTGTATGCACGTGCATGTGTGTTGAGATTGGATGATGTCTTGTCAGAGATATCAATTTAGATTGTCGACATCGTTTGAAATCTTCTATTCTTTAGTGGATGAGGTGATGTTCTTTTGTCTCTGTTCTGTTTTGTTCTTGGGTGAGTGTGCGTGTGTGTGTGTGCCTGCGTGTGTGTGTGTGTGCCTGCGTGTGTGTGTGTGTTTATACTTCGTGTGTGTGTTTATGTTAATACTTCAATAGATCAATCTTCGTTTGTTGTTACAAGGTTAGTATATTTTTTGTTTTAAAAAATTATCGGAATATGTACAAACTTGCGAGTAACATGACAAAGACACGAGAAATCATACAGACAATCATACACACACATGCATGCATACGTATCCGAAAATGTACACACGCCAACACGAAGCGTACACTCACATTACATACGTATATAATGACACACACCCTACATGTTCTTACATATACATACAAATACGTGACGTGCATGCATGCATACATACACACGAATCTACACGCACATTCACACACGCATACATACACATACGTACATACAAAACATTTATATAAGGTCAATTAAAGTTGTCGGCTGAGAATTACTGAGATAGCCAAGCAGTGCAAATAATTGCTGGACATCTGTCCACTGTTTTTGTTATTATTTATATTATTATTATTCTATAATGCTATTATTATTATTATTCTATATATAAAAAAGTGTTTTTTCAGTGTGTAACATATTTTATTGATCCCAACGTGTTACAAACTCGCTCTATTGTATTGTTACGCTTAAAAATTTTATACTCATGAAGACGATGATGATGGTGAAAATAACGATGATGATGATGATGGCGATGAGAATCATAATCACCACCACCATCATCATCAAAGAGTCGCATAGTTTGAAGTGCGTGACCTCATGATCGCATCCTAACTCATCTCTCTCACCCCGTCATTCTCCTGTTGAAGCTGCTGCTGCTGCTGCTGATGATGATGATTATTATGAAGGTTGCTGTTGTGATAATAATGATGATTTTGATGTTAACAATATCGTTTAGGATGATGATGATGATGACGTTGATAACAACGATGATGATGATGGGATTATAAATTTGGTTGTAGTAGTAGTTGTTGTTGTTTTCTTGTTGTTGTTGATGATGATGATCATGGTAATGGTGGTTACAAATTTTTTTGCTATCATTTTCGTTTTTTTTATTGTAGAATAATACCCCATATTTAAGAAAAAATTATTTTATTTCAGGTTAAAAACGAACCAATGGCTTCACGAATTTTTATTCACAGAGCTCCTATTGGACAATTTTTACATTTGACTCCGCCTTTTTCATTTCTGATTGGCCGGTGAGAATAATTTATTTAAACCTCTACCAATGGTTCTTAGATTTAAAATGGTCAACCTTATGATAAATTAAGAAGTTTGATGTGAAGTTTATCGAAAATTTCAACAAATTTCTGGCGAAAGTTGCAAATTTTAGTAGGAATTAATACTTATAAAACAGATAAATATGTAAAATATTGTTTAAAATTATTATTTTTATCGCCTTTTTATTTGCATATTTAAAAATGAACAAAAAACAAGCGACGAAAATGTAAGTTAATCACCATCATCGCCATAATTAACCGTCTCTTCATCATCACCACTACCGGAAACATCATCATCTATCATAATTATTATCGTATTAATTATTTTATTATTGTTATTATTATTATTATTACAGATACTACTACTTTTAGAATACCAGAGTATAATATTTTCAAACAGTAAAATTGTAAATACTAATTTCACTATTACTCATTAACTTTATCAATGCTACCAACACTACCATCATCACCACCAATACTACTACTACTCCTACTACTGCTACTACTACTCCTACTACTGCTACTGCTGCTGCTGCTACCACTACTACTACTACTACTGATAATAATAATAATATTAATCACAGTCATATAATCGTTACCATCATCATTTGTAAAGTCAATACACGTTCGTAATAAATCTAGAAAGAATTAGAATCATAGCACACACACACATATGTATATATATATATATATATACACATGTGTGTGTGTGTGTGTGTGTGTACAATCATAACACACATACACACACACACATGTATATATATACATGTGTGTGTATGTGTGTGTCCACATACATATATGCCTCTTACACATGTTACACCGTTGCGTTTATTGATTGATTTGAGTATTAAAAATATGAATAGTGATTATGATAGTGAGGATGTAGGTGTTGTTGCTGATGATGTTGACGAAGCTGATGTTGTTGTTGTTGTTGCTGCTGCTGCTGTGATGTTGACGAAGCAGATGTTGATGTTGTTGCTGCTGCTGTGATGTTGACGAAGCAGATGTTGTTGTTGCTGATGTTGATGTTGTTGTTGTTGCTGATGATGATGACGGCGGTGATTTATGACAAATTTATTAATAGATTGATTTTTTACTCTTAAATCTGGCAAAAAATTTTTTCAACAGAGATAAGGAACAGAGCCGTAGCAACAACTACAGCAGCAGCAACAACAACAACATCAACAACAACATCTACAGCAACACTCCACTCATTTCACCACCGCCCCCGTTAATTGCAATAACACGATCGCCGTCATTCTTCAATCATTCATTCCACGCCAAACCGCATCAACACACTTCAGCAGCAACAACATCAAAAACAACAACATCATCTTCGTCATCATCACACCTGGTTAGAAAACCACCCACCACCACCGCCACCACCACCACCACCACAACAACAACATCAACAAAAAGCAATCCAAGCAAACGACATAGGGAGCGACTGAACTCTGAACTCGATCGCTTGGCCGAATTGCTGCCTTTTGATACGAACGTCATTGCCAAGTTAGACAAGCTATCCGTCCTCAGGTTGGCTGTTAACTACCTCAGGACCAAAAGCTACTTCCAAGGTTTTGATAATGATGATGGTGGCGGTGATGATGATGATGGTGGCGATGATGGTGATGGTGGTGGTGGTGGTGATGATGATGGTGGCGATGATGGTGATGGTGGTGGTGGTGGTGATGATGATAGTGGAGGTTTGAATTAATGAAAAGATGACAACGTCCATTCGCTTTATGATGTTGATTGTTGATGATTAAAACGATGATGATGATGAAGACGACGACGACGATGATGATGAAGACGACGATAACGAATAACGTCTTGCAGTGCTAATAAGCTGGTATTTAACAGCTACTACTTCTACTACTATTTGAATAATTGGCCAATAATAATGTTCCATAGTAGGTCTTCAAGTGTCATTCTGGTGATGGTAGTAGTAGTAGCAGTAGTAGTAGTAGCAGTCGTAGTAGTAGTAGTAGTAGTAGTTGTTGTAGTTGTGGTAGTAGTAGTAGCAGTAGTAGTAGTAGCAGTCGTAGTAGTAGTAGTAGTAGTAGTAATAATAGTAGTAGTGGCAGTAGTAGTAGCAGTCGTGGTAAAAGTAAATCATTTTAAATATCGTGAAATGCTTTCAATTTCAATTGTACGCCATTATTCAATTTCCTATCATATTTCCTGAGACGTGATTGGTTGAGAGAAAGTCATGTGACGACGTGACGTCACTGTAATTTGATGACGTAGGCTGAGTCACGTGGTGTTGGTGACGATGACGATAATGATCATAATAATAAATGTCAAATTCCGATTTTCATCCACGTGCTACACTAACTCAACTTCACTCATTTCAACAGCTGTTTTCCTCTGCAAACAACAAACATCATCATCATCAGCCGTAACATCATTATCATCCTCATCATCTTCATCGTCATCATCGTTATCATCATCGTCATCATCATCATCTTCGTTTTCGTCGTCGTCGTCATCATCACCGCCAGTGCAACAGCATTATTATCTCTACCAGTTGCACTATAAAAACAACAACAATCACAACAATAATAACATCAATAACAACATTAATATCATTAGCAACAACAACATCAACAATAGCAACACCATTCTGACATCAACAAAAAAATCAACATCTTCAACAAAACTTACCATAAAAAACGACAGCAGTATTGATTGCATCAACAGTCGTAACAGCAACAACAACAATAACCTCAACAACATCAACAACAACCTCAACAACTATCTCAACAATAACGTCAACAACAACAAGAGCAACAATCATGAACTATCGATTGAAAGCATCGCCGACTCTCACGACATCTTAAACGTTAGCAAAAAATATAAAAATTTATTACAATGAATCGCAAGTGTGGGAGCGGTGTATGACCCTCAAAAATGAACTTAAAACAACGTAGATGAAAAAAAATTGGACCAAGGAATCAAGAAAACACGTCGCTCGGAGTTTCATTTCATCCAATCTGACCCACTTTCATTTAAACTGACCCAATTTGATCTATAAATAGCTAGCTACAACATGACGCCGATTTGTTTGACTTTTTCATATGAATTGAACTATAACATAGGGAGGTGTAGCTTTAATCAAATCTATAAATAACTTAACTGAGATGGCATCAACTGAATTTAACCTAATGTAATCTATTTTTAACTTCATTTGACCTAATTTTAACTTGATCTGACCCAATTTTTTAGGCCCTAAATGGTTTCCTATTGGTCGTGACGGACGCCGGCGAGGTTTTCTACGCGTCAGAATCCGTCGAACAGTATTTGGGGTTCCATCAGGTAGGGAGTTGTGATGATGATTGTGATGATGATGATGATAGTGATGATAGTGTTGTTGACGATGATGATGATGATGATTACAATGGGTTTGATGATTATGATGA